AGTGGTTAATACTCAGAGCTTCCAATACAGGGGGCCTAGGTTTGATCCTCGGGCAGGAAACTAAGATTCCACATGCCATGTGGTACTGCCAATAATAATAATGATGTCTGTCAACATTCCTACATTGTGTATGTACTACACTGCAATGAAAGTTATAAAACAGACTTACACTCTCATCAAAGATGGACTAATAAAGACTAGATCTAGCTTCCTGCCTGAAATAACAACAAAACTGGACAAAATGTATGAAAGAAAGGTTTTCAAGGCATTGGTTATCAGGTAATGATTGGGATCCTAAGGGGCAGAAGACACATGTAAACACTAGCACTGTCCACACCACCTGGAGAGGTCACCATGCAGCAGGATGAACCCTGGAAGTACCCTTAAGTTAAGGAGATGGAGCTGTGAGTCTGAAGAGGCTGGTTGGCAAGAGTTTACAGGGTGGAGTACCAGAGATGAAAGAGATGCAGAGAGATAATTCTAGAGAATTTCAGAGGGCCTCCCTCATTGTTCAGCTGAGTTTTGATTAATACATGCATTGGAATCCTGACTGCCGCTATCTATCAATCAACACACCTGTTTTGAGCTCCTGGGTGTACTCAGTCCCTCAGTCATGCATGTCCGGCTCTTTGTGACCCCATGGACTGTAGACCTCCAGGCTTCTCTGTCCATGGAATTTCCCAGCCAAGGATACCTTAGTGGGTTGCTATTTCCTAATTCAGGGGTCTTCCCAACCCAGGGAGGGAACCCACACCTCTTGAGTCTCCTGCATTGACAGGCAGATTCTTTACCATTGTGCTACCTGGGATGCCTACATTGAGGAGACATGTGGGAAACTAAAGCTGAGGCAGATCAGTTCCTGCCCTTACCAGGCTTCCTGTCTAACTGAGGAGAGAAACCACATGCACCCAGGAGGCACACACCGCCCGGGAAGTCTCAGCTGAGAGCCAGAGGAATGGTTCAAGGGGCAGATGTAAAGAGAAAAGAGGGTCAGCGATTCTAACCCACACCATCCCCTCCCCACCCTGTCCCCAGCATAAGGACGACGCGGGGGCTGTGATGTGGGAGACACAGACCAGCTCTCCAGGTCTGGTCTGAAACATGAGTTCTAGGTGGGACCTGAAGAAGCAAAGACTGCCATCCCTGGGAAAGGTGGTGGGGAGCCCTAGGCCAGGAAGTGGGAGCTGGTGCCCGTCCCTACGCTGCCTCTGGATCTCTGTGTGGAGTTCTAGGTCCCTGCCATTTCCCGGTCCCAGTTTCCTCATCTGACCCTGGGGAGCTAAGCTGGTTTAGCTCTGAGGGAGACTCCCATCAGCTGAGCTTCTGGCCTCAGTTTCTCTTGCCCACAAAGGGGACAATAGTCCTGTCCATCCTTGGGAGAGCCCCCCAATCAAGGGATTGTTCTTTTCCTTCAGCTACTGCCAACAGAAGATGAAGAAGCCCCAGGAGTTTGAGCAGAAGCGAGGGGACAGGCAATGATTGACTGTCCAAGGCAACAGGCCTGAAGCAAGTGCTTTCTGCCAATCCAGCACCTCACTTTTACCTCTCCCCAACTCCCACCCCACTGCACCCCAGACTATTTTTGCTAGTTCCCAGAATTCCATGCTTCCCGCTTCCTACTCAGCCCTATGGTTTCTCCAGGGTTGATTTAGGAATGGAGGATGGCAGCCATCTTGTCAGGGAGTAGCAACACCTTCTTTCTCGGGTCTACCCCGCCAATCTTCAAACTGAGGGTGTACTTCCCATCTGGTAGGGACCCATCCTAGTACGCCCTCAGAGAACAATCTGGCTGTGCCATCTATAAGCAGATTTCACTCACACAACATACCCTCCTGTACCCTGAAGGCCTCCAGAGAACTCACCACCCCAGTGAGAGCGTGGACAGGAGTGAGGTTAGCCCCCATCACACACCTGCCACGTGCCCTTCTCAGACCTCCGGGGAGGTGAGGCCAGCGGGGGTTCAGCGCCACCTGGTGGCCATAAGCTGCGCTACACGCCATCAGCCTGTCCACGCCTTTTCTCGTACCCCACCCGCCCCCGCAACACAGGCACACAGAGCTGATCCCAAACCCTCCTCTGGGGCCCCAGTCCACTCGCTCACCACTCCTACCGGCCACAGTCCTGAGGAGGCAGACGGAGACTCTGAGCTCCTGAATCTCCTTCCTCTATCCCAGAGACAGAGCCCTTGAAGAGGAGTCAGGCTCACATCCCAACCTTGGCTGATTACTTAACCTCCTGGATTTCACCTTTCTAGTCCGCAGAATGAGACAGTAGTGTCTACGCCCAGAATCGTGGAGTTTCCTGTAAAATGAAACCATTAACTTGGGAGGGCAGGGCAGTTACCAGAAGCCCTGGGGAGCCTAGGCTTGTATCCTCCAACCGGGTGAGGGCCGCCCGCAGGCTCTGCAGAAGCAGGTTCCTCCTCCCGCCCCTCCTCCGACCCCCACCCCTGGCAGCCCCCAAACAGCTGCCCCGGCCACCTTCCCCGGGGACTCACCTCCTGCCAGAGGCTCCACCCGACACCTGGTGGCCTCGGAGGATGGCGCCTGAGCAGCTGCCCAGGGCTGTTCAAGAGCAGGTTCCTTTTCCAGGGCACTTGCCAATCCGGCCTCCGCCCCCCATCCAATCGAGCACAAGTTCTGTGAGTTCAAAGCGTTTTGAACTCCTCCTTCGCCCAGCCTAGGCCACTGAGCATCCACTTTAGGATGCTGCTGCTTCTGCTGCTGCTGCTAAGTCGCTTCAGTCATGTCCGACTCTGTGCGACGGGAGCCCACCAGGATTGTCCCTTCCCAACCGATCTCCTTCAGTCCTTGCTTCGCTTTCCTGCAGGACCTTCTAAAATGCACGCCTGAGCCCCCATTCCTTCGTGCCCACAAAGTCAAGCCGAACTCCGAACTCCGAAGTCTGGCATTCATGGCCCTCCCTGATCTGACCTTAGCTCTCTCCATTCTCATTCGTCAGCCACTCTCCTTCTCCGAGCAGCAGTGTTTGTAGGAGCAGTTCCTATTCCCAGGAGTGCCTTGCCCCCTTTGCCCGCAGGAAAACCCCTGCTCATCTTCCAGACCTCGCTGTGGTTTTCTCAGGCCCCTGCTTGGGGCCATAGGTTTCATGGCCTGTGTCTCCCCTGCCAGGCTGTTAGACCCTCCAGACCAGGGTCGAGGATGAATTTAGCTCTGGGCCTTAGCACAGGGTCCTGCAGTGCAGGAGAAAATATCTGAGTTGTTTAATTTGGAGGCAAGGAGGGATGTGTCACAGCATGGGCCTTGAACAGAATTAAATGTCGAGGGAGAGCAGCCGCAGGGGGAAGGGGAGGAAGGCTCAGGGGTGGGTACCTAGGTTGTGCTTCCACTTTACCCAAAGGCCTGTGGAAGAGGACACACACACACACTCAGGGTCGAGGGTCATAGGCACCTGTGTTAGCCCACACCAACACTGGTGTCAGCCGGGCACAATTAGAGTAATCCTCTTCTGTCCGCCTGGAGCCAGCAAATGACTCACCCCGACCTGGGGGCCCACTGACCGGCCTGGATCTGTGTTGTGAGAGGACAGACTGAGGGAGCCCAAAGCAGGGGCTGAGCAGGGCAGGGGCCTGGACCCCACAGCCCCAAGGGCAGGCTAGAAGCCCCGGGACCGTTCAGCCCAGAGAAACAGACTCCAAACCAGGACAAACTGCCAGGTATGAGAGGCAGACAAGCTCTATGGTCCCGGACACCCTGAGGTGTTAACTGGCAAGGCTGGTACCCTGAGGCCACTGTGGGCAAACACAGGATGGCTCGGTCCATCGCCTCCCAGCCCTCCCCCACCAGGAGAGGAGATCCCAGTGCCCAGCCCCTTAACATGCCAACCTTTACTGATCTTTACTGATCTGGGAGAAACGAAGGAGAGAAGATGGGAGGGTTCAAGGCAAGGTGGGCGTGGGGTCTGGAGACTGCCAATCAGAGTTTCCTCCTGGTCACCAGTCTGGAGTCTGCCCCTCTGTCTGTGGAGACGCAAACACTCTCACAGCCAGGACAGCAGGGGATCAACCCCACAGACACAACCCAGGGCTATATTTGATACACAGTCAGACTCAGGGCTGCCCATTTGGCTGGATTTACAGGGACACAGACAGGTATCCCTGTGGCTAGGAGAGGGTTCAGAGGCTCAGGCCTTGGCTGCAAGGGCACGCATGACTAAGGTAGACCAGCAGACAGAGGGTCTAGAAGGAGTGCCAGGTCACCTCCTCCAGGCAGCCTCCTTGATTGCTTCAGTCTCTCATTTCTCCATTTCCAGTCCACAAATGACTGCCTCATGCTCAGTCCTCTCTGTATGTGCCATCTCCACCTCAGCACCCAAGATGTGGCACAGGACTGGTCTGGGGGTACCCCGACAGGTCCAGCACCCCCCCCCAGAAGAAGGCATAGGCAGCAGGGATGGGAGTTCCAGTAGCCTGGGAGTTCTTAAAGGCATTTGCCTCCCCGATGCTGTTTCCCCACCACCACCAACCTCATGCACAAAGTCTGCAGACAGCCCCGTGGGGGAGGATTGGTAGAAAGAAATAGATTTATTCTCATGTACAAAGCGGTCAGCCCACGGGACCATATACAACAGTTGCACAGAGTCCTAGAAAAAACGCATTTCTCTAAAGGCAACTCAGAATAGGTAAGGCAGGTGGCCCCCCTCCCCCCACCCCACAACACATACAGAACAAAACAGAGAAAGGAGAAGCCAGTGGCCAGGATGACCCCAGAGGCCCGGCCCTAGGGGGTCTCCCAAGCCCTGGGGCACGGGTGGATATGGCCTTGAAGAGGAGACAGGCCCTGCCAGGCTGAGGCCAGGTCCCCCTCTGGCTGAAGGATCAGGGAAGGGGCTCCGGCTAAGGGGGTATACTCAGGGGGCCACTGAGGGACTTACTGTTAGCTCTGTGCCCAAGGGGGCCAGGGACCCTTGGTGGCCTCTCCTGGGACTCCACAGAACTATGGGGACTTGGATCTAAAAGGGGTCTTAGAGGATGGATTGTCTCACCCTCCTGTTTCACAGAGAGGGGAAGGGACTTGCCCAGGGTCACACAGCCAGGAGGAAGCATGGCTGACCCATGCTCGGCCTGCCTCCCAGCCCAGGGATCCTTCCTTCTCGCTGTTCTTATCCTGCTCTCTTCCTGAGCCCCCTCTCCCCAGAGCACTGTGCTGGCCCCCTGGCAGCTTCCTCCTGGGACCCCTATCTCCCCAGGTCCCGGTCCCCACCACAAGTACGAAGGCAGTCCTCAGGGCCACAGGTGGCCCCATGGTTATTTCTAGTCCTACAGCCAGGATGATAAATGTCTCTAAGACCCACCCTTTGCCCATTCAGATGTCTCACGTTCTTGCCTGAGGATCCTGGGAGGCAGTGAGGGTGCCCCAGAGGAAAGGGCACAGATCTGGTAGGGCAGGAATGGGGCCCAGAAGAAACCATCCGGCTGCCTCAGAGAAGGAGTAGCCTGGCGGGGGGGCGAGGGGGGACTTGCCAAGGTGCAGTCAGAGGTGCAGAGCAGGGCCCACTGCTCACTGGTTACCCCTGTACTCTCAGAGGACAAATGACAAAGTCTCAGTGAGGCTGGATGTCTTCCATTATACAGACGAGAAAGCTGAAGCCCGGGAAGGTCAGACCTCGCCCGGGGTCACGTGGGAAGTCCTGGCCTAGAATCCAGGACCCCTGGCTCTGGTCCCAGGGCGTGTGGCCAGGCCCGTGGAGGGTTGTGGGAGGAGGCCTGGGCAGGGAGGGGTCCCAGGAGGGACTCATTCGGCATCAAGGCTGCAACAGCCGTTGATAGGAGCCCTAGCGCCACCCAGGTCAGGCACCTCATACTCCTCATCCAGGAAGTCCAGTGAGTTGTTGCTCGGGAGGCCTCGGATGGTGAACTTGTGTGACACCTTGGTCCAGTGCTCACGATTAGAGGCCACGCGTTCGTACAACTCTGCCGCCTTGGGGAATAGGTCTTGCAGCAGCCTGGGGGTAGATGGGGGCAGGTTTAGAGGTCAGAAGTCAGACTGTAAGCAGCAAGAAACATTAGGGCTGGACCACAGGAAGAACTTCCATAAGAGCATGAGGCATAAGATTGGAAGCTCAAGGAGAGCTTGACCATCTCTTTCCATAAAGGACCAAGGATGACGCCAATGGCCCATTCAGGGGCAAAGCAAGAGACGGCTGTGCTCAGAAACAAGGAGTGGATGAGGTGGAGTGGGCCAGGCCAGCGCAGCGCTTGTGTCTGCTGTGATGGCTACAGCGAGCCCCGTCCCACTCCCATACCATCATCCCTGGGCAGCATCTCCAGCAGGCCCCCTGAGCTCACTCACTTGTAGATGGGCATTGCGATGTGCTCCATGAAGCTGATCTGCAGCTCGGGGATGTAGGCCTTCTCACGGTCCATCATCTCCATTGGCCTGTTGCCCATGGCCTTCTCCTGCAGGCATCAAGTCGTCAGGCCTGTCTGGCCCACTCCATGCTCCAGAAATATCTGGATCAGGCTAACCCAGCCCCTCCTAGGCCCAGGCTAGGAACCCTCCCCCAACCTGGGCACCCTGAGGTCACACCCCACATACCAAGTCTCCCTGGGAGAAGAACTCTTTGTAGATCAGCTCCTGAAAGGTCAACACTCTCATTACCGCCTGTGAGTGCGATCCACCCGCCCACGCTCCTCCATAGCCCATTCCCAAGGGGGCAAACTGCTGCACTGGGACCTCAGGACCTGTCCTCACCATCCCTGGCCTGGGAGGAGGACGGTGGCTGGGTTCTGGCCCACCTTCCACCAGCCACTCACTGATTTGCTGGGTGACCCCTCAGTGAGTCCATGCCCCTCTCTGAATCTCTCCACTGTCACCTGAGGTGGTCTAGGCTTCTGTCTCCCCTACAGGCTGAGCTCAGCACTGGAAGGGCGTGCAGGCTGCAGGAGCCACACAGAGCCAGGCAGGGTGTACAACCTATGCCTTCCCGAGAAGGAGTGGCACTTACCGCAATCTTCCTCGTGGTCTTCCAGCCCTTGGTCTGGTCGGAGAGGTCACAGGAGGTCATAAGGAGGCAGAGAAGGAGACTGTGGTGCTGCTTGTTGGTTCGATCATAGCCCACTGTTGCGGAGAGAACAGGGTCAACGAGAGGGACCCAGCATCCTGGGCCCTGGGATAGGTCCCTGGGCCCATCCCAAAGTGGCGCAGGGAATTCAGCACTCTGGATGGGAGCCAGGGATGCAGAGCTGGGTCTGCCTGGTGGGCTGATGTTTGAAGGGATGGGACTGAACCCTGGGGATGCTCTCCAGGTGAGTCCCCCTCTTGGTGGTCCCTCCCCAATCTTGAGACCCAGGCTAAAGGCAGGCACCTTCGGCCATCTTTTGGAGGTCCTTGAAGATGCGGAGGTGGTGGGCCAGGTCTGTGGCCAAGATGATGTCCCGCATCAGGTCCAGCATGCGCTGATAGTCCTGGGTGAGGGTTGGGGTACAGGGTCAAGGCCCAGGCACCCCACCCCCTCCTCCCCTAAACCTCAGGAACCTCCACCCCTCGGCTCCACCTCGTCTCCCATCTCAGGCCAGCTCCCAGCTCCCACTCCCTGCCCCCCACCCCCAGCCCCATCACCTTCCGGGAGAAATGGTCAAAGATGTTGCAGCCGTGGGTGTTGAGGATGGCAATGGCCTGAGCGAAGTGGTGCCTCTGTAGGGACAGGTGTGACAGGGGCCCAGCTGGGGTGGGGGGGGCTCCTCCTCACTGACCCCAAGGGAGGAAGCAAGCCCAGCCCAGCCCTGGCCCCCAAACTGAGCAGAGCAGGCAGAACTGGGGAGTCGGGAGTGGGGGGCCAGTTCCCTTTCTGGGCTTTGCTTCAATCCTTCATGTGACCCTGGGCAAGTCCCTGGCCATGTCTGAGCCTCAGATTCCTCCGCTGTCAGTCAGACGGACACGACAAGGTGAGCTCTGAGGGCCTCTCAAGCTGGAATGACTCTGAAATGATCCCTTGGAGTCTTCGACACTAATTCATGCAAGAAACATTTGTGTGCTGACAGGGAAGGGCAGTGATGAGGCGAGGGCAAGACCCCTGTCTTCTGACGCTGAAGGGCTGTCACTCAGAGGAGGAGCCGACTCAGCCCAGGGCGTGGAGAGCAGGAGCCAGGCTGCCACCAGGCCTCCCAGGAGGAAATGAGCCCCTTGTCTCTGGGGGCATGCAAGCAGGAGCAGCTCCAGACGGGTGTTGTGGGGGGCAGGGTGGGGCAAGGCAACCTTGAAAGTTGGGTTCCCACTCATGCCAAGCCCTGTGCCAGATGCAGGGAACTCAGAGATGTCTCCGATTTTGTTTCTGCCCCCACCAGCTCCCACTGGGGGTGGGCAGACACAAATCAAACAGTCTCAGGCAAAGCTGAGCATGACGGGACAAGGAGCCCACGCCAGGGTGGGAGCGGAGAGGGTTTCACAGGGTGTCCTTAGACATGCAAAGAGAAACAGGCTAACTACAAGGCCTCCCTGGGCAAACCTGGGCTTGGGCAGAACCTGCAGCCTGACTGGCACCCCCAGCTGCACGGGTACCCTTCCAAGCTCATCGGGAACAAGAGTCAGACATGCCCTGGGGGCACTGCAGCTCTCCCTGTCTGGGTAGGAAGCAGGGCTTGGCATGGGGAGGAGCCAGGCCACAGTCTAGTTTCGTATTAATAAGTCATTGGCCTTAAGGGGACAATGGGGATGGGGATACTGGGCAGAATGGTGGTACCTCCATGACAGAGCCTTCCGAGCTGTAGAGTGCGGCCAGCACAGATTTCTGGAAAAACCAAAGAAAACCATCACTCCTGACATCCAGAAGCATGTTAGGCTCAGAACAGCCCAGCTCCTCCCACCCCCTCAGCACTCCTGCATGTCCCATAGCCTGGGAGAGCCTCCTCCTGTCCCTCAACTGGCTCCTGGTCTCACGAGCTCCCACCACCCCTCAGGCTGGAGGGGTGAGGCTCCCAGACACCCCAGGGAGGGTGCCCACTCTGAGGAGGGCAGGGTCTCACCGAGGCCACCTGGAAGGAGTTGTTTGTGCCTCTGTGATCCAGGTCGTGACACATGCAGGAAATAAACAAGGCAAAGATCTCCATGTCCCTGGTTGGGAGGAGACAGAGGACAAGGAGGTGAGCCACAGCTCCCTCCCCACAGGAGGGCCGGCTGGAGGAGATGGCCATGAGAAGGGGAACTGCTCCGCGGCCAGTGACTGAGCTCTTGACTGCACATGTCCGGGAACCACCTGCACAGGGGCTCAGGAACTTGCGTCCCCTTCTTGGAAAGAGGCCTTGTACCTTTCGCACTGGGCTGTTAGGATCCCGTGAGGCAGTGCGTGGAAAGTCTGCCACACAGGAGGTGTGGTTCTGTCCCCAGGAAGGGGACCCCAGCAGCTGCCAGATGGGGGCAAGGGCAGCCACTCACTCGAGGTAGTTGGTGAGCTCCAGGTTCTTGTAGAGCAGGTAGCAGAAGTGGGAGACAGAAAAGGCGTGCATCCAGTTGTGGTAGGGGGGGTCCCGGTAGCCCTTCTTCACCATCAAACAGAACCTAGGGGTGGGGAAAGGGCAGCACAGGGGCCTCAGGCTCTCCTCCTCCAGCAAGCCCTCCAGGCTCTGTCCTGCCCAATTCCTTCTCTTTCCTCAAGGTCTCAGTGTCTGTGAATTGCCTCTCACTGGTGGATCCTCCCACCCTTACAAGTCTGGGCCTCCCCTAGTCATCCTCAGAGGTCCTTCCCAGAGCACCCAGAGCAATGGATGTGAGTAGAGGACAGAGGGAGGCAGACAGGGCTGCCGGCACACGGAGGGGAGGGCTGGGGTACACACCGGGCCAGTGTCGGACAGTCAATTTTGTAGTTATTGATGAAATTCATGTCCTGCAGCATGCTCAAGATGGCCTGGAGAGAGCAGAAGGAGGGATCAGAAAGACTGTAAGTTCCAAGATGCACCCCACTCCCCTTACCGTGGCCCTTCTTGAAGCCTCCAAAATTTTGGAGCCTTAGAACTTTAGATCTAAACTTGAAAACCAAAAAATGGTACAGCCAAGCATTCTTGGAGCCATGAACTTAGAAATAGGAAATCTAAGAACTCTTGGAACCAAGTTCACACAAAGTCTTAGAAAAACAGCGAGGGAGATGCCAATCCTGAGGCCATCATTGGTCCCAGTCCAGCCCCTGGGCAGGCCCTGGGGCCCATGCTGGCAGACCGCATCCCCCCCTCCATTTCTTGATGACTCTGTCTTGCCAGGAATTTCCTATGTACATCTAACTTCAATCTCTGGCTGTCCATCCTCCATAGTCAAGGGGGGTGAGCCAGCTCACCATGGAAGTGTCATCCTCGGGAAGAGAGCGAGGAGTGTAGGTGAAACTGGCAAAATTGGAGTCAATGGCAGCCACAGGCTGGATCCCGTCATGGAGAAGTTTGGTGTATTCATCATCAGAGACCTGGAGGGGACCAGCCAGGGCATGAGAAGATAGCCTCTACCCCATCCAATGTCTTCAACCTCAAACGCCCACAGTGGCGGGGACCTCCCACTCGAATGCACCCCAGTTGGGCCTTCCATGGGTTTTCACTGGGCGGGAGAACACCATCCTCCCCTCGCCATCCTGCAGCCAACCTACTGTCCTCCGTGCCTGGGCCCACCCTCATCTGTAACCGCCTCTCCTTGTTAAAGGCAGAGAACACCTCTTCTTGACACCATGGCGGCCTTCCACAGACAATAACAAAGATTCCTTCTTTGAGGAGGACCATCCCAGAGCCAATCCTTCCTGCTACAGTTTTGACCCCAGCCACAAAGTCTGGGACCTTTTGGTTTGGACATAGAGGAGAGGAAATGTTCAAGTGAACAATAACCATCACATACTCTGAACTAAAGTTCCAGACAACTTGTCTTGCACAGGGTCTGGGAATGGGACTGCCTCAGACTGCAGGACCACTGTACCTAAGGGAGCTGAGGGAGGACCCTGAGCGGGCTTCCCAGCTGTCAGCAGTTCCCAGGATGGGAATTATCCCTGGACATGGGGAGCACCTGGCTGAACCATGCTCTCTGCTGGGCTGAGTCTTGCTGCCGGTTTTGGGGCTGAACCAGAAATTGCTTTGAAGAGAGGCTGCCCTGAAGGAGAGCAGGAGAGCAAAAGGCCAGGCACTGCTCTTATCTTCAAGAGAGGGTGATCAGAAAGCCCAGCCTGATCCTGGGCACCAGAGGATTCATGGAGCTAGGGGAGGAACAGGGGGACTAGGGGGGACCCTAGGGCCCTGAGAAAGAGGGTAGAAGCTCTGTGCAGGCTCACCTTCATGTGGTACATCATCATCTCATTGGCAAGGTGGCTGCGATACTGCGCCTCATTCACTTTCTTGTATAGGAGGGACTTGTGGGGAAGAGAGGGAAAGATAGGGCTCAAGCAAGGTGGCTGTGAAATACCCAGGACTGGGACCAAGGGATCGGATAGAACCTCCCCCAACTCCTGTCCCAGGCTGGGCCCAGTCTGAGCCTTCAAGATCCAGCCCAGAGTAGGGACCCCTCTCCAACTTTCATCTAGACCTGCCCTCCCCTCCTCCCCAGGGCCTCTTAGTACTTGATCTAGCACTTTGCATGCTCTCCTGATCCTGCCCCAGCTTCAGTGATGGAGCCTGAGGCCCCTAATGGAGAAAGAGAAGCAAGGAGGGGGAATAGCGTTAGGGATCTAGGGGCTGGATTCCCGGGTCAGAGCTGCCAGCTGTGGACAATGAGACCCAACACATCCCCACAAGAAGCTAAACAGGGGCTCGGGTTGAGGTTGCTTTTGGAAAAGGGGGAAATAAAACAGATCTCCCACAGTCCTAGGAGGCTAACTGAACAGGATTGGAAATAGTATCCCTAATTTTCTGATGGGAAACTGAGGCCAGAAGTGACCAGTAGGTACTGAAGACTGCACAGCAACCCAGCAGCAGGGCTCTGAGCCCCAGGGGTGGGACAAACCCATCTGGATAGAGCAAGGAGAGCCAGTGTGGAGAGGAGAACAGAGGGTGCTGCATGGGCCTGCCCCTGTCCCGCTCACATGCGCAATGCTGATGCCGCAGTAGATGGAGAAGGCTGTAGCCAGGTCCTCATCAAACTTGCTGAACCATGGTCCGTTGATCTTGTTCACCAGCTCGGCCACACCAATGACCTCTGGGGACCAAAGAGGAGCTAGGATGAGCCAGTGGATGTGTCCGACGATCTGTCCTCCCAGGGTATCCTCAAGGGACATCACATGCTTGGGAAACCCCATCCCTTCGGCCTGGGGATGCTAGGGTGGTAGAGATGGCTTGGGGACCTTCTGCTCGGCTCTGCCCCATCTTCTCAGGCCCCGCCCCAGCCCTCTTCTGAAGCCACCACAACCCGCACCCTGGTTCTCGTTCTTGATGGGGAAGCAGAGGATGTTGCGCGTCCGGAAGCCAGTGCTGTCATCCACGCCTCGGTAGAAAAGCGGATGTGCGTAAGCATCTGGGATGTTCAGGATCTGGCCGGTGGTTGCCACGTGACCCGCGATGCCCTGGTCAGCGGGGATGCGGATCTCATAGCTCTGCCGGGGCAGGGATGGAGTTGAGAGGAGGGTTGGTGGCCGGTCACAGAGTGAAAAATCAAACGTAGGGCCTGCTCCCCTGCGGACTCCCAGACCCCACGACCATGGTCACACCCTCCCTCCACGCAGCCCTGCCTCACCTCATCTTCCACCACACCCCCATCGAACACCTTGGCCACCAGCTCGTTCTGATCCAGCAGGAACACAGAGCAGCTGTGGAGAGATGGCGTTGGTCCACAGAGCCCTGACACCCCTCTGTAACCACCCCTCAAATCTCAGGACTTGAGGTGAAGCCTAGATTTCTGAGGCCTGGAGGGAGTAACCTATGGTGAGACTCTCCTCAGGGCTAGCTAACTCCAGACATTAGTTCAGATGTATAATTTTTTTTTTTTGCTAGCACCTACCATGTACCAGACACTGTATTAACAGCTGAGGACCCAAGGCCTGCAAAGCAAGCAGTGGCCCTGCTGTCATTGGATGTTACAATCTAGTGAGGGACACAAGCATGAAATAAAAAATCGTGTAAGATATGGGTCCCACAAGGAGGCAGTGGAGGGGATGTCCCTGGTGGTTCAGTGGTTAAGACAACATGCTTCCTATGTAGGGAGCATGGGTTCAGTCCCTGCTTGGGGAACTAAGATCCACATGCTGTGCAAGCCAAATAAATTAAGATGACAACAGAGGGGGGAAAAGAGGCGAGGAAAAGAAAGGTGACAACTGAGGGCCAGGGCCTCTCTCTCTGTCCCCACTTCTGGGTGGATTCACTCACATCTCAGCATTGCTGAGGTTTCTAGCCTCTGTGATGATCTCCTGGAGCAGCACGGAGACATCATCTGCGGGAGGGAGAGGCATGGGGGACAGTGGTGAGACCAGGCTGGAGTGCTGAGGCCAAGCCTGCCTGCCACCACTCCTCGAAACACCAGTCCCCCGACTCCCACCCCACAGCCAGGCATGGAGGAGGGAAGTGTACTCACCCAGGTGAGTGAAGAGGTTCTTTGCCACTTGGAGAAGAGCCTGGAATGGAGAAAAAGGAGATCACAGGGAATCAGGTTGCAGGGTTTCACCCTCTAGCCGCCTGCCTCCATCAGCCCAAGGATCTTCTCAATCTTTCCCTAGGGCTCGCGGGACAGGCTGGAGAGTCTGGCCTGTCTGGGAGAGTCTGAGAGACTCTAACTCTAGACTGGGAGAGTCTAACTGTAGACTCTAACTCTAGACTGGGAGAGTCTAACTGTATCATTTGGCTCTAAGGGAAGGAGTGGGAGTTCTAGCCCCAGGAAGGGTGAGCAGGAAACCTGAGTGTCACATGTGTGGTCCCCTCAGACTCTACCATCCAGATGTTGTTGTGATGCCCAATCCGAACACTAGAGGGCGATCGCATACTGGGCCTGCAGCCAGAGGGGCGGTCCTGAGGCGCTCCAATCCTCCCTCTTTAAGCGACTTCCAGGGGCCTAGGTGGTCTCCCCACCACTGGCCCCAAAACCCATGGGCTTTTCCCTCGTGGATGACTCTCTGGGGCTGAGAGCTGGCGGAATTGGTCCCTGAGAGCAGTCAAGGCAGGCCACGCACCTGGCACTCACACTTGAGCTTCTGCTCCTTCTGGAAGGCCAGGGTGCTGGTGAGCACCGTGCTGGTGTAGTGGAAGCAGTGCTGGATCACATGCTCGTCCTGGTCTGTGAATCTGCCAGGGTGGGTGGCGGGGGTCACCGGAGAGGGACAGACCACAGACTGCTCTCCCCATTCCGCCTCACTTCCGTCCTTCCAGGAAGCCCACCCAGAAACCCACCAGCTCACCGCACCCTCCTCTGCTGGGGCTGCTCACCACCCTGGTGGCTTGGGCCAGCTTCTGCCTCAGACTGGGGAGGCTTCTGGGGAGTGGGCTCTAATCTTCCTCTGTCCCAAATGTGTTTTCCTTCTCAGACTATTGCTTCTCAAAGCCAGAGACTTCTCAAAGTCTCCCTCCTCTGACTTCAGATTTACCCAGACTGAGGCTGTTTTCCCCCTCAGATTGGAGACTCGCCCAACCGCGGGCTGTATGTTCTCCTGCCCCTCTCCTCCAACGTCAGGGAGGGGTGGTGGCACCGCCCTGTCTCGTCCAGCTCCTACACTGTCCTACCTTCCCTGGAACCTGCAGGCCCCAATTTGGTGCCTCCACAAGTCCTGAGGTGGTTGTGGGCAGGGCAGTGCCCATATCACATTCACGGAGCTGGCTGGCATCTGACAAGATTGGCCTGAAATCCTGAGGAAGTCATTCAATCCGGCCACCCAATGATTTGTCAGCAGGGAGCTTTGTGGGACGTGGGCTGGGGCGGGACCTGGGCTGTGGACGTGGGTAAGCCTCTCTGGATGGGGATCAAGGGGAGATGGAGTATTCCTCAGAGACTCTGACCATTTCTCAGCCCCCAGATTTCCCTGCCAAGACCCCTCCCCATTTGGGGGCTGCCTGCAGTGCTCCTCTCAGCTGGGGAGCTTGCCACTCATGCTTGCCATCCAGTGATTCGGGTCTAGACCCCAATCCCCACCGCGCTGTGTCTGTCTCCCTACCTTCCTTCCCACTGCATTTGAGACCCCTTCATCTGGTCCCACCCACCTCTCTCCCCTCTTCTATGGACGTCTCAGCCTCAGCCACAGTAAGATGCGCATCATTCTGAGAAAACCTCAGGCTCTTTCACACCTTCATGCTTTTTCTCACACTGTTCGCTCTGCCTAGAATACCTTTTCCACCGTCCCCGCTCTGTGCCCTAAAAATAAACATCGAGTCTTGAAGCCAGTCTTGAACCCTGACAGTATCACCCCCTGTCAAATGCAAAGTCTGGTACAGGGGAGATGTTTGCAAAGTGTTTGCTGAAGTCTTAAATGTACCTCTTCCCCTGCCACCAGCCTCATCGCACTTACCAATGAAGGGATTCTGGAGTCCCTGTTCTCAGGGTTCCAGACTGCTTCTCTACAGTGCCTGCTCTGAGCTGAGCACCACCTTGGCTCATGCAATTATTCAGCACTCACTCCCTGAAAGATGTGGAACCTAGAGGTGACCTTGTCTCTGCCCTGAGCCTCAAAGCTGTCACCCAGCCCCCATCTCGTTTCCCTTCTGATATTTCCTCTCCTCCAGGTCCAGGACTATCTCAGAACCCAGGCCGGCAGCCAGAGGCCACAACCTTTGCTGGACCTCCTACTCTGCACTCTCCCTCCCCAAAGGCCTACCCAAGGCCATCCAGCCAGCACAGGGTCAGACACACTAGATGCACTATACAATGTGTGCTTACTGAGTGGCACAAATACCCCCACACTGGGATGCTCACCAGTTCCCCATGACACAGACCCCCATCTGCCCTGCCTCAATGAGTTCTGCCTTGTCCCTGTCTTCATTTCCCCAAGTCTCCGTGCTGGCAGGTCCTGCTACTCAGACCCCTGACTCCCAGATCTCTGCTCCACCCCTGCAGACACTGTCCCTGGGCTTCTGACACCTCTCTAGTCCCAACATCTCCAGTCTCCACTTCTTGCAGGAGCTCCGAGGCCTCAAACCCAGCCTGCCAATTTGTGCCCCAGGGGCCAAGCATCTTGTCAGCATCCCTCTGCATCCTGGAATCAGAATGCAACCCTTCACCTGCCCACTACTCCCTACTGCTGGGCATGCTGGACCAAGTGTGGCAGCATTCACATCCTGAATATGCCCCCAGGACAGATGTGGCTAATCACAGCACTGTTTCTCACTAAACTAATACAATGCTTCAGGCAGCAATTAATGAGTTGGTGTAGGACATGAAATCTGTGATACCACGTCTATACCCCAAATCTGACCTCAGTTTTTGAGACATACTTCCTGACTAAGCCTGTGTACCTGACTCTGTGTCCTGCCCACACTTTTGTTTCACATGATTCTTACAGCTGCCCTATCAATGCCTCTGAAGAGCCTCAGCTCAGCCCAACCCCCATGCCTATTCCCTTGAGCCACTATCCACAATGTCATTGATGCTCTGTGGGTCCAAGAGAGTTCACCCATCCTAGAGCACATCGCTCCTCCATCTGTTACCAGCAGAAATACTAATACAGGGATGGCAAGTTGGGGGAAGACCAGTACCAAAACATGCATAATCCAAACTGTAGGAAGTGGCAACAAGAAGGGGAACTTGTTTGGACCTCAGCATGATTTTACAAAGTCAAATGGAGCAGCAATAAGGGTCTATTGCTCCCATAATCTCAATCTCTTGCACAGACAAACCATTCAACCCACCACTGCTAGAATAGGACCCCCTGCCCAGTATCCTTCCTACACTGTTACCCGAGTCAGCCCTGCCCAGCCTCTCAGCTCCATCTCCTGGCCCACATCCCTCCACCCAGACTCACAAGTCTCCTCCGAGCTTGTTGAAGGCGCAGGCCAAGGCCACAACCTGGTCAGTGGCCCGGCTGATGACAGGGACACACAGCATGGCCTGAACCTCACAGCCCAACATGCTTTGCAGCTGTTGCACATCCTCCTGCAAAGAAGAAGCAAGAGGGGAGGCAAGTCAGGGCAGGGAAGGAAGAACATGCTTCCCTCCCCTGCCCTCCACCACACTCTGCAACAGGAGGGTCTGAAGGGCTCAGGCAGGGTGGGAAGTGCTATGACACAGGGTGGGCTAGGAAAAAGTTCCCGGGTCTTGTCTCGCCTATTCCTAGGTTGCCCAGGCCCAGAGAACCTGGCCCTGGGGACTGGGCAGAGGGCTATCCCCTTGTCTCCTCCCCTGGTCCAGCCAGGCCATGGCTTACGGAGGTGAGATCTTTCAGCTGGATAGACTTCTTGTCTTCCACCACTTGGCCCAGGCGTCCTGTGGTCAACTGAGGGAGTGAGGAGAGCCAGTCAGGGCCCAACTCTTCCCAAGATCAGGCTATGTCAGACCTCTCCCCTCATCAAGTCTGGAAGTTTCAACTACCTCTTCAGTCAGTCCAAATCGTGGATGGAGTCAACACTGAGGAGTGAGGATGGGGTTGGGGGTTGGGGGAGTAGGCTCTTGACCAGAATCCCTTATGGAGGACTTAAGGGTCTTTCCTAACTAGGAGAGAAAAAAGCAGAATCCAAGGATTCTCACTGATCCTAACAGATTCTAAGACAGCCAAGCCCAGAGATACTCCAACAGAAGTGACCTGGCCCCAAGTAAACCTTTCTGTAGATTGTGAGTGATTTCTCCTAAGGGATCCTGATTATGAGAGGTTGTGATCTCTCATAACGTTTCTAAGTAGATCTGAAGGTCCAGATAATTCCATCAGATTCCAAGGGATTCTAGTAGACTCCAGTCTCACTGGACAGATCCCAGGAGTGCCTGGTCTGCTTTAACTGCTTCTGCAGACTCCAACACAGAGGACAGATGCAGGACTCACCGGAAAGCTGATCTCTTCCTCCAGTACTTTATCTCCAATGACCTGATGGGCAGAACGACGTGAACTGGTTAAAGGACAGGCACAGTTTTTCCTCTCAGAGACCCAGGTTCCTCGCCCTGCCCCACAGTGGCTCTGGGCCCTCACCTTACAGGAGAGCTGGAGATTGTCCTCGGATACCAGTAGGAGGCAGCAGCGTGATGCCTGGGTCTCCTGCTGCAGCTGAGAGGGAGGGACACAGCGAGGGTCTGACCTCGCATATGGGAGATCCCCACTCCCCACCCTCTGCCTTTCTGTGGCTCCGCAGGTAGGTGAAGAGAGGAGGGGCAGGACATCTGAATCTGTACCGAGATGGAGGGCTCAAGAGGACTTCCGTCCCGGGAGGAACACAATAGAGACTACAGGGACTTACATATTGGAGGACTTTAAGCTGCAGGGAAGAGGCGTCCAGGTCGTAGAGCTCCCCTGCAATGGCGGGGCAGGAGTCAGGCAGAGGGCCCACAGATTTCCCCCAAGGGTGTGCGCACTCCAACTCCGCCCCCCACCCAGTTCAGGATCTCCTCTTCAGTTGCCGCCCCGGCCAGCCTCCGGCCGCGCCCCAGCCGCAGGCCCCGCCCACTCACGGCCCTTCCCACCCATGGCTCCGCCTTCACAGGTTCGCGCCCCGCCCCTCCCGGCCGCGGCCAGGTCCTCACCACAAAGCTGCAAGATCTTTCGGTCTTGGTCTGTGTACTCGACCCCATCCTTCTGGTCTCCTGCCGCCTCCTCCGGAGGATTCTGGGTCGCTTCCGGGGCCGCGCTGGACTCGCGCTGCTGCAAGGCCTGCACCCTTTTCAGGGCCACCAGGGTCTGGGGCGGGCGGAGCGGTCAGCAAGCCACACGCCCCACCTTTATCGCCCTCGCCACCTTTGGACCTCTAGCTTTAGTTTGAGCCGTTCTCTCTGCCTGCGGTGCCATAGCCCCCCACCCCCACACTCCCGTGGGCTCCCTCTTTCCCCGGAGCGTCCCTTGGTCCATGATCAGATAAGTACTGGGTTTGTCTTCACCCCTAGCCCCAAGACTCTTCCAAGGCAAAAACAGGGTCAGATTTCTGTCTCTAGAACCCACGGGGAGTCGTTGTCGTTGAGTTCTTGTTAAAGTCACAAAATCATAATCTCAGGGAAGAGCCTCAGTATCATTATGTAGATATTCCTTCCTCAGTTCAGTTGAGTCGCTCAGTCGTGTCCGACTCTTCCCCACCCCATGGACCACAGCATGCCAGGTCTCACTGTCCATCACCAACTCCCAGAGTTAACTCAAACTCATGTTCATTGAGTCGGTGGTGCCATCCAACCATCTCATCCTCTGTTGTTCCCTTCTCCTCCTGCCTTTAATCGTTCCCAGTATCAGGGTCTTTTCAAATAAGTCAGGTGGCAAAGTATTTGACTCGCCTTATATCACTAGTACCCTAAGTAGGTCAGTGCTATCCTTATCCTGATTCTCAGATGTAAAACTGAGGCTCAGAGAGCTTAAGTGACTTGCTCAAGGTCACACAGCCCAAAAGTGCAGCCCTGGAACCCAGCTCTGTCCATCTCCCTGGCCAGATCATCTTCCCCTAAGTTGTGATGAGGGCCTTCAGCAGCCCCCATCCTACCCCAGCCCCTACCCCCACTTACATGCTTCTCCACGGCTTGCAGGCTCCACTCCTCATGGTCACTCAGCTGACCACAGTGCACCTGGAGGGGAGGGAGAGGGGAACCAACTGTGACCTCCCCTAGCCTCTTGTCTCTACCAGAGCGCCCTCCCTATGCCTGGCACACACCTGTCCCCACCAACACATACACACTCCAGTCTGTGGCCTCAACGATAAGTGCATCCTCTAACCAAGCAGATGGCTGGGAAATCCCCTCCTCCAGGAAGCTTTCAAGGGCTAATCCAAAGAAGTGGAACTTTTCTGATCTCTGACTTTTTCAGCCACTGTCCCATCTATAGCACAAGCCAGGTGTATAGTGAGGGACAGGGGTTGACCTTGGACCCCCCCCCCCCATCTCTCAGTCTATGGAGCTTTTCAGGCCCTGATGATAGAATCAGTATTATTAACTTCAGCGTCCCAGCTCCATCCTTTCTGAGTTGGGATTTGAGCCAACCCTAAGTCTGGGATAGGGGAAGAAGTCCACCATTTACAATACATATGTTGTGCCTAAAGAACTCGGGAGAATGGATGGATAAATGAAGGAATGAATGAATGGAGTGACAAGGTACTTTGCCTTGCATGTGATTCTCACCAACCTGTAAGTCAAGCTTCCATCTTTCAGACGGAAGGCCCAGAAAGGTTGAGTGACTTGCCCAAGGTCACAGAGCAGAAAGTATCAGAGTTGGGATAGCACTGCCCATTCCCTCCCCTTCTCTGCCCAGATCTTCCCCTCTCCAGATCCATCTTCATCACCCCAGCCCTTGTCCTGTCCCTCTCCAACTTCTCTGTGCCAGCCACTTGGAGTCCCCTCCGCCCATCTTTCATGCTCTGTGAAGTCTCTTCTCCCACCTCTGCTCGGGTGCTTGGTGAAGAAAATGGTGGGGGCGGTGGTGTGCACTGCAGGCCCTGACAGCAAAGCTCCCCACCTGCGTCAGCAGCTTCCAGGCACCTACTCAGAGCTGCTCACCACCTGCGGGACTTCCCACAGTGCTTGCACTGGGGTCCCCTCCTTCATCCTCCACCCCCCCACCCCGGCCCCACTCAGCAGCCCCTGCATGCCTGCCTCTGTTCTAGGTCCCCTGCCAGGAGCAGATGGAGAGGAGGAGACCATCAGGTTCTCAGGAAGCTCACAGCCTGGCTGGGGAGGATGGAGGGGGGCGATATGATGGAGGGGGGTGTAGAACTTCATACCTGGGGAAGGAGAGGGCAGACTGAGTGGATGGGAACTTAAAGGCTGTGGGAGCTCAGAGCGGGAGGGCACCTGGGGAGCTTCCAAACCTGGCACTGAAGTCTGGGAAGACAAGCAGAGCCCGGAGAGGATGCTGCAGGCAGGAGGCTGTCCTGACAGTGCCGGGTAATAGGTGGGACGGGGAGCTGAGGACCAGGCAGGGGTGCCGTCTGTGGTACAGGGGGAGAGCAAGGCTAAGGAATTGGACTTTAGCTTGGTTGTACTGGGGATTCAGGGCAGACTTTAGCATCTGCGGACCATGGTCTACGAGGTAGGGAGAGCTGGAAGGAGCAAGACTGGAGGCAGGAAGACCCAGAAGAAGCCTGGGCCACCAAGAATGGTGTGGAACATTAGGCTCCAGATGAGGCTCCATCTATGATTCCCATAAGACAGGTTGTTGAAAGGGGCATTTGCATATGGTTTACAGAAACAAGTTGGCATTTTGCTATTAGTAGATGGGGGAGGACATCCTTCTTGTTCCTGCCACCTGGACTCCTCTCAGAAAAAGGGAAGGTTGGGACCCCTCTAGGGCTGTGGGGTTGGCAAAATAGCCTGGTCCCAAGACAGAGCTGGGAGGCTGAACGAGCCTCAGAGGGCTGGAGGGAAGGAAGGAATCATGGAGTCCTCTCCACCTGCTGGGCCTGCCCCTCCCTGCATGCACTCCTGGGCTGCCTCAGCCCATCCCAACCAGCACATGCACAAACACAATGCACACTTTCATGGAGACCCTCAGTGCCCCCCAACACACACACACATTCACTGTCCCATAGAGATATCAGGCATGTGCATACCTGCACACACACACTGCAGTCAAAGACATCCACACACTCACAGTGACTACCATCCACACGTGCACATTCGTATCTGTACACAGGATACTTGAGTTCACATACTGGAGAGCCATGCACACGCTTCTGCCCATCCCGCCCCCTCCCGATAAGCAAACATAATCAGCAGCACACAAACACACACACACATACACACACAGCTCCTTGCCCATCAACAGAACGCACAATTGTACCTACTCTTGCTAACTAGGGGGTGGGTCTGTGACCCAGTGGGAGCTCTCAGGAGTGGGGACCCAGGCGGCAGAGAAGGCTGAAAGCCCAACAAAGGCCCACCCCCTCACCAAGTTCAACAGAGCTAAAGGACACCCCTTCTCCCAAGTAAGGAACTGGTACGGCTGGCACAGCTCAGGGAAAGAGTGGGCACAAATCGCACATCAGATGCCAGGGACCAAAGGCTCCCCGATCCTCAGTGGGACTTACTATCCCAGAATTGAAGAACAGAGCCAAGACTCTTTCCACACAAAGAATCTGCAATCAAGTCACTCTGAGCTGTGAGCTGCAGGAGCCCAGAGCTCTGCGCAGGACAGCATGTCCCTCAGAGAGCCCTCCGCTGAGCCCATCTCTATCAGGCTCCAATATTCCTTGCAGGGCTCCCAGGTTTCCTTGCTGTCACTTGCCCTCATTTGCAGTTCTCTCTTTGTTTTGTTCACTTGTTTAACGTCCGGTGCCCTCATCCCTCCAGACTGTATGGTCTGTGAAGGCAGGGCCCGTCTGGTCCATCTTGGTCACTGCTGCTATGTTTGCATAGCACAATGCCTGGAGGTGCTCAAGAAATATGCCTTCAATTGATGGATCGGTGAGTGGATGGATGGAGGGATAATGAATACAAGAGCAGAGACCTAGAGAGGGGAATGGGGCTTGTTAAGGAAGGAGCTGGTGAGTCAGCCCCCAAGTGATCTGCCCTGGGTACTCCTTTTACCCTCTAGAACCTTAGTCCTTGGGATCTGGCAGCAGCGGGGAGGTCTGGGGATGCCTATGCTGCCTCTCAGAGGATGTGAGATCCTGTGGCCCCAGGAGCATGGGGCAGGAAGGGGCATGGAGCAGCTGGACAGGATCAGCCAGACAGGATGTGTCAGACCTGTATGCTCTGGGGAGGGGGTGTCCTGGAGAAGAACATTTCCATTTGAGTAGGAAGGGCCAGGCTTGGAGGGGAGGCAGACTGCAAATAATCCAAATACTTTTCAAGAGCTCTTCACTGCCCAGGGTGTTTGAGGAGGTGAGCGGACAGTAGTCAGGAACTCCTGGCAGCCACAGGTAGCATCTTGCTCACCAGCACGCACCCCACTCCTCAGCCTTGCTGTATCACACTCTTCCCCTCCACACTTCACCACCCTGACTTGGCTCATGCTGGTCCTAGAATATCCTATCCCTTCTTCTCTGTCTGTTCCCCCCTCCCCACGTCCCAAAGTCCCACTCAAATGCTGTCTCCACTGTGAGTCACCCCTTGGTGCTCCAGCATTTGGCCAGTGGTGGTATGAGGGTGACCCTGCCTTCCCCCAGACTGAGCTTCTAGAAGGCAGGAATGAGTATGACTCCTCTCTCTGCCTCAGCACCTGTCCTGGGGCAGGCAGGGCCCAGAGCAGTGTTTTGCTTGGGTGCCATAAATTTAAGTAATCTGACCAATCCCCCTTGCCAACACACAGAGCCTTTCCTATCCCCAGGAGAAGGCTGAAGCCTGAACTCCTGGCCTGACATGAAGCCACGGTGAACAGCAGTCACAGCAACCATACTTCTGCCCACAATGCAACAACCTTCCAAGCATCTTGCCATTGTAGGAGCTTCCTCCTTACTGGCCCAGCCCTCACAGCCCCCACAGGAAGTCCTTCTAGGAACTTGGCACTCCAGACCCCTTTCCCTCAATAGAGGTGGGCGACCAAGTCATCGCCTCCCACGCCCCACCTCTGTATAGTGTGCCTAACTCAGGTCCTCCTCCAAGCGACCAGCTCTGGGACAGATGGGGACCAGAGGAGGGAGGCCAATGGCGCTGAGAACTGGGTGCCAACGGCAGATCCGTTCCCTGCGGGGACAGAAGCTGGGGGTGGCGGAGCAGCTTGCGGGAGGAACCAAGGGGGCCGCCTCCCCCTCCATCAGGCAGATGGGGCTCCGAGGAGACCAAGCCAAGTGTCCCTTCCTTCCTCTCCTCTCCTCGTGGCCGCCCTCCGCGCCCATCGCCCTCCCCCGCCAGCAGCTCGGGAAAGGTCAGGCGCCTCGGAAACCTTTAATTTCGTTTTAATGAGCTCAGGAGGAGTCCCCGGGCGGGCGCTCCGAGACCGGCTCATTTATCTGTCCGCGCCCTTTACCGAGGCGGTGGTCCCCTCCGCAGAAGTTGATCCCTAATAACGGCGATTTGAGGGCGCTAACCCTTCGGTTCTTAGGACTGGACACAGATTTTGAAGGTGCACTTTCCCACGGACCCTCAAAATCTGTGTCCAGTCCTAAGAGACTGGAAGAACCGCAGAGCCCGGACTCCGCAAAGCTCACCCAGCCCCACAGAGGGAGTCGAAAGCGGGGAGCTCCGCGAGGGGGCAGCAGAGAGCAGGAGGGGCCCTGGCTCGGGTTGCCGGCCCATCTCCAACCCAGCAGCGTCCCTCCTTCCAGCTGAGGCCCCCTCCCCAGGAAGCCCGCCCTGTTGCTTGGCATCTGTCCCAGCCTCGGATGTGGGTCTGGCTGGGGCTGGATGCCTTCCCAGGCAGCCCTGCTCCGGGGGCCTCCTCTCCTCAAGCCTCCCAGCTCCAGTCACCCCCATCTCTGACTGGCTTTCCCACACTGTCTCGATCGGGTCGGTCGTATCTGCGCATCCCTCCTCAGGGTCACTCGGTCCTCTCCCATTTGGCTGCATGCATGGCCTCTTGGGACACTGCCCCCAACCCGTCTTGAAGGATGTCTTGGTCAGGGCTGCGTCAAGGCTCCACCAGGTAAGAGTCCAGATGGGGCTCGCATTTCCCTCTACAGGTTGCTGATGGGCAGGCAGCTTCATCCTGCCCATTCAAGGTGGGGCAGAGGGCTCCTCCCAGACCCCTCCCAGACCCCCATTTCCCCCATCTCCACCCCAACTTACTGTTCACCCCCCCACACACACCCCCATGGGGCTCCATTCAGTGCACCCTCCCTTGCTTCCTCCCCTATTCTCTTCCCCATCCCACCCACAACTGCTCTTACCAAGATGACAGCTGCCACAGCCCCGGCCTCCTTGTCCACCAGCGGTATGACCAGCACTGAGGGGGAGAGGGCAATGAGGTGGTCCCGTGGGGCCAGTGAGGCTCAGAGGTACTGAGCCAGGACCCAGGGAGGGAGACAAAGACACAGACAGGGAGAGGCTGGGACAGAGACACAGAGAGACCCAGAGACCCGGAGAGACAGAGAGATGGGTCCTGAGGCAGTGACAAAAATGACCACAGCAACAACCCCTGCATAGAAGGAAACCCCCACTCTTGGCCACTTTCTCATGATCCTCCCAGCAACCCTGGGATGGAGGGAGGCAGGTAAGGCTGAGCACCCCTGTTTCACAGATTGGGAAACTGAGGTCCAGAAGGGGAAGTGACTTGCCCAAGATCACACAGCAAGTCAGGTCTCCTGACTCCCAGTCTTGTGCACTTTCCACATCGAGACAGAGGACAGAGACCTAGAGAGACTGAGACACGAAGCAGAGATACATGCGGACAGGGGACGTGGAGAGGAAAAGAAAGAAAAACAGAGTGACAGAGAGCGTGACAACTACAGCCCATCTAACCACCAGCACAAGCCACACCCCCTCAAGGTAGGTTCTGTTGCTCCCATTTTACAGACCAGGAAATTGAGGCTCAGAGAGGTTAGTAACACAATAGGGAGAGATTTAGATGGCGGGTTTGCTAGAAACACAAAGCAAGAGAAAGAAGGAGACAGACAGATGGAGACAGGGATAGAAGACAGATATGGTCTGGGGAGCAGGGGCCACAGTTCTTCCCTGCCCCTGCCCAGCTCCCAGCCCTTACCTTGGGTGTCAGGAGCCAGTGGAGCCACCAGCCTTGCCAAGGGCTTCCCAGGCAGGTCTGAGGGGCCCAGTCCATTGCAGCCCAGTCGCTTCCTCGAGATCACAGCCTCTCTGAAAAGAGGATACGATTCTACCTCTCAGTCCCTGGGCTTCCCAGGTGGTGCTAGTGGTAAAGAATTCACCTGCCAAGCAGGGAACACAAGAGATGAGGGTTCAATCCCTGGGTCGGGAAGATCCCATGGAGAAGGCCCTGCAACCCACTCCAGTATTCTTGCCTGAAGAATCCCATGGACAGAGGAGCCTGGAGGGCTATGGTCCACAGGGTTGCAAAGCGTCGGACACTACTGAAGCAACTTATCACGCACACTCAGTCTCTGGATCAAAGTGGAACAGGCCCCAGCCTGGGGACACACAGCGGGCTGGACCCTGCACATCTGTGAGGATCTGGACAAGTTGAGCCGCTGCACGGTGGATATGACAAAGGCAAAAATCAGAGTCTCAGGAGAAAAGGGAACCCTCCTGCACTGTTGGTGGGAATGTAAATTGATACAGCCACTATGGAAGATGGTATGGAGATTCCTTAAAAAACTATAAATAAAAACACCATATGACGCAGCAATCCCACTCCTAGGCATATACCCTGAGGAAACCAAAACTGAAAAGACACGTGTACCCCAATGTTCATTGCAGTACTATTTACAATAGCCAGAACCTGAAAGCAACCTAGATATCCATCGACAGATGAATGGATAAAGAAGTTGTGGTTCATATACACAATGGAATATTACTCGGCCATAAAAAGGAACACATTTGAGTCAGTTCTAATGAGGTGGATGAAACTAGAGCCTGTTATACAGAGTGAAGTAAGTCAGAAAGAGATAAATATTGTATACTAACACATATATATGGAATCTAGAAAGATGGTAGTGCAGAATTTATTTGCAGGGCAGCAATGGAGAAACAGACATAGAGGACAGACTTATGGACACGGGGAGAGGGGAGGAGAGGGTGAGATGTATGGAGAGAGTAACATGGAAACTTACATTACCATATGTAAAACAGATGGCCAATGGGAATTTGTTGTATGTTTCAGAAAACTCAAACAGGGGCTCTGTATCAACCTAGAGGGGTAGGGTGGGGAGGGAGATGGGAAGGAGGTTCAAGAGGGAAGGGACATATGTATACCTACGGCTAATTCATACTGAGGTTTGGCAGAAAACAACAAAATTCTGTAAAGCAATTATCCTTCAATTAAAAAAAAAAAAATCAGTCTCAGACCCTGACTCTCCCCTCCCCATGCAGAGGAGCAGGCAGCTACAGTCTGGCCTCTGGTGCCTCCTGCTGGTAGATAATGGGAAAGGTACCTTCAGGGTACAGCACAAATCCCACAGAGCAAATAAAACCCAGGGCTCAGAGCTAGGCTGTCTGGGTTAGATCCTGCCATAGCTACCACTTGATTTTGGGTAAGTGACCTAACCTCTCTGAGCTTTCCAGGGAGATCTGGGGTGGAGAGAGTAGAAATCGAAACATCAGAATCTTCAGAAAACCATCTAGAGCAACTTTTGGTGCTAAGCACAGGAGGGGGACTCCAAAAGTTTATTAGGCATCCCTATGTGCATATTAAAAAGCAGAGACATTACGTTGCCAACAAAGGTCGGTCTAGTCAAAGCCATGGTTTTCCAGTGGTCGTGTATGGATGTGAGAGTTGGACTATAAAGAAAGCTCAGCGCCGATGAACTGATGCTTTTGAAATGTACTGTTGGAGAAGACTCTTGAGAGTCCCTTGGACTGCAAGGAGATCCAACCAGCCAATCCTAAAGGAAATCAGTCCTGAATATTCATTGGAAGAACTGATGCTGAAGCTGAAACTTCAATACTTTGGCCACCTGATGCAAAGAACTGACTCATTGGAAAAGACCCTGATGCTAAGAAAGATTGAAGGCGGGAAGAAAAGGGGATGACAGAGGATGAGATGGTTGGATGGCATCACCGACTCAATGGACATGAGTTTGAGTAAACTTTGGGAGTTGGTGATGGACAGGGAGGCCTGGCATGCTGCAGTCCATGGGGTCGCAAAGAGTCGGACATGACTGAGCAACTGAACTGAACTGAACTGATGTGCCCACGAAGTCCAGTCAACCTACATAGATAAATTCCCAATGATCCCATAGATTAAATACTATTATCTTTTCCATTTTTCAGGTGGAGAAACTAGTGTGCTGAGAGGTTAAGTAACTTGTCCGAAGTCCCACAGCTAGCAAGAGGTAGAGCCTGGACTTGAACCCAGGCATTTGGCACCAGAGCCCATACTGCTAACCAGTACCCTTGAGTCTTCCTAAAGACCAGAGGGGACTGAGGCTCCAATGAGGACTGATGTGAATGTCAAGGAGGCATAGGGCATCGGTGTGATGGGGGCAGGGGTGGGAACTGAGATAGGGGAGCCTATGGTAGGAAGAACGAACTTCTCTCTGCCTTCACCACACATTCCCCCTGCCCCAGCCTCTGGCTCTTCCTGCTTAATTAAGCGCCTGAGTTTTCACCAAATGTCACTCCCTGATGATTAATTGTCCTGGGTTCTTCATCCCTCATGCTGCCTCCACTTAATTGTGTTTGTAGGAACTGCTTGGCCTGGAGAGAAGAGACGCTTGCAGGGCTGGGACTCTGGTGTGTGCATGTGGAGTCACTCATGGGAGCCCAGCAAAGGTCAGGTGAGGAAACAAGAGGGGTAGTTTGTGAGTCCCCAGATCAGGTCCCAGCAGCTAGAGAAATTAAGGACCAAAGAGGCTGAATGCCTCAGTCAGGGTCATGCAACACTCTGAATCCAACCCACTCACTCCTGGTCCCTTGGTTGAGATTCTACGATAACCACTGGTGTCTCCCACCTTCCAGCCCTCACACCTGGACCTTTTAGGTTTCTGGAGGGCCGGATTCCAGTTTTGAGCTGTCTAACTGTGCCAGTCACCCCAGGAAGGAACAGGGGTCTAGGGTGGCAGGAGGCAATGGGAGCCACGTTTCCGAGGGACTACATTGATAAAGGCTGGGGCTTTGTGGAGACAGGGACTGGCCTTGTTGACCCTCAGCCAGACCCCTTGTAGCGGACCCCACCCAATCTCTTGGCCTTAGATAAGCTAGTTATTGGTCAGCCACCAGGTGGCGCTGGTCCTTGCAACCGCTGGTCAGTAAGTGCTGCAGCTTCATCTCACTGACCCCTGACTCCTCTCTTCGCAATCCCCAGACTGTGGGCTACCCTGGCTTCTCTCCTCCTACCTCCCCACTCTGCCCTCAAGCCAGGACCCTGATAAAGGAATTGCCCTGAGCTTTTCTTCTGCACAAAACTCCCCTTCGGTGCTCATGGTCTCATGACTCCAGCCCCCAATCTCTTAAGCTCCAGGACTCAAAGTCCGGCTGAAGGCCTGCCCTGGGTGTCCCTGAAATAGTCAGAGACCCCCCCAGTCCTGATCGGAACTTATCCTCTCCACTGCTTCCCCGGAAGTAGCACAACCATCCACCAGGTCCCCTGCAGCTTATCCTCAAACTGTCCTGGGTGTCTCCCTCTCCTCACCTCCCCATCCAATGGGTGAGTCACTGCCCCTGCATCCCCACAGCTCTCCCCTGCCCTCCATTCCCAATCCACTGCCCAGCTCAAATAGACACCTCTCCCCTAGACCTGCAACAGCCTCTCTCCTCGCCTCCTGCCTCCTGTCGGGTCCCTTAAATCCAGCCCCCACCAGAGTCAGGGCAGATGTCCTAACTATGAGGGCGTTCTGCTTAAAGCCATTCCACAGAGTATTCGTTTATTCCACAGAGTCCCTCTGGGTCAGGTTTGGAACCGAGGACCAAGAGAAGAAGAGGAGTCGTGGTGTCGTCCAGCGAATGAAGTACAGACCCACGCCGGAGCGCAGAGATGAAAGCCCTGACAAAGGAAGGAAGAGCAGGCCCCAGGTGACCCCTATGCAGGACAGGAGTGGGGTCAGAGAAGGAGAAGGCTTCCTGGAGGAGGAGATGCCTGAGTTGAGTCTTAGAGGACACACAGATGCTATCAAGACAGACAGGAAAGGAAGTGCAGGTGGAGGGAACTGCATGGCAAAGGCTCAGAGGAAAGAAATAAAGTGTGTCTGCTGGATGGTCCACCGGCCAGGCGGCTGCAGAGGGCAGGGTCCTGAGGAGCTAGGCTTGATCCTGAGGACAGTGGGAGCCCAGGGACTTGAACAGGCCAAGATGAAGGTCAGGTTCAATTTCAGGCTGATCATGCTGGCTGCTGAGTAAAACTCACTAGAGAGGGAGAATCTGAGAGACAGAAACTGGTTCTCAGTGAGGGCCTGTAGTCTCAGATGTCCCTGGAACAGCAAAAGGGAGGCTGGGCTGGGGCAGGGTCAAGGCTGGAGCCTTGACTGGGTCCAGATCTTCCACCAAGCACTGGGCCTTCCAAGGATCTTCCACCCTCAGGAGTCCCCCCACACCTCGGAACTTTGCTCTGTAACCCACCCTCTTCTGGCCAGCCACATCCCAGAGCTCTGGGCAGGGCTGTGCCAGGCCATGCTCACCTCAACCCACCCTGCTATGAGCCCTTTTCTGCTGCCTCACCCTTCCCAGAACTGCTGTACCCCTAGAGGTTTCAAAGATGCTGGAAGTGGGTAGGGGACTCCAAGGCTGTGTCTCCTCCACCCAGTCAGGGCTGGGGCTTCATCTACTGCTCACATCCCCCACTCATGTCTGCCTGCCTGTCTGCCTGCTAAGTCACTCAGTCATGTCCGACTCTCTGAGACCCTATGGACTATATCCAGCCAGACTCCTCTGTCCATGGGATTCTCTAGGCAAGAATACTGGAGTGGGTTGCCGTGCCCTCCTCCAGGGGATTTTTCTGACCCAGAGGGATCCAACCCATGTCTACTGTGGCTCCTGCATTGCAGGCAGATTCTTTACCACTGAGCCACCGGGGAAGCCCCACATCCCCCATGACATCCCCTCAACTCAGCGCCCCCGCCCTGCCTCCACTCCCCTCCTGACTGCCCCCTCCAACCAGGATGATGTTGGAGGGGAGGGAACGCCACAGCCCCGGGGCCAGCTGTCCAAATTGAAGGCTAATGACTCAGTCCTGGTGCCTGGGTGGTCATGGGCTGCCCCAGTGAAGATAAAGACAGATGGACACAGAGTGGGGAGAGGAACGGGCGTGGATTTTATGATGGTTCCGTCCCTTTAACAACTATTTGCTTAGTGGAGGGCAGAGGAAAAGGCTCTCTGTTGGTGGGGTCAATGGCCTGGAAAGAGCACCAGGCCCTCTTCCACTCCTCTGAGCCCCTTCTTAGGTGAGACCTCCCTCCCCTGACGGAGCCCCCCACCTCCAGGGTCCTCATCTTCACTCTCATCTTTCATCCCTCTTGGAGACAAATTATGATTCAGGCCAAGACCCCAACCCTCCTTTCTGCCTCCCTCTCCCTCCCCCAGAATGTGAGACTCCACAGAGATGGGAACAGACTGTTCTCTGTGTCCCTTGAGGTCAGTCAGAGGGGCAGATGGATTCTGCAGTGAGTGGGGACCCGGTCAACTCTGAGGAAGAAATTTCTCTCAGTGTTGGGCCCCTGGCCCCCCCCAAACGGTGGCAGAGGGAGACAGCCAGCTGGGAACGGGGTGGGCGGTGTCTCCGCTCTAGTCAGAAAGGCTTTCACTGTACTCAGCAGGGAGTAATCAGAGGCTTTAAGATGGCAGGAGACACAATGAGAAGAGGACTGAAATAGGCTGATTGAGATTGAGGCGGGGCACAGAGAAGAGAGAGGCTTCCAGGAAGCCTCTCACCCAGGCAGCCCTCCAGGATTCTCCCTCTCTAGCCCTGAAGAACCCCGCCCCGCCCTTGCAGCCTCAGGATTCCGAGCCCGCAGCCCTCAGACGTCACAGTGCCCCAGCTTATCAGAGCACATAGCGTAGACAGAGGCCCAGGGAGACAGCATGAGCTTGTGATGGTAGCCATGTTGTCCTGGCTCCCAGCCCAGGGTTCTTCTCGAGGACAGACCCATCCCCTAAAGAGGCTGCCAAGGCCCAGACACCTTTTTTGGAAAACTGAATCCTCCTTAGTTCTGGTGATCTATGGAGCAGGCTTCCTAGCAGCCCTCGGGCTGGGCCCTGGCAGAGAAGGGAAATGGGCTGGTCAGGGTGGAGAAGGTACGCGGAAGGACTTCGCGAGGGAGGAGACAGCTCGGCAAGCACAAGGAGGCAGGGAACCCAGGACACACGCCGGGACGAAACGGCATCTGTGAGCCCGTGGAGGAGTGCGGGGCATCACTGGAAGGGCTGTGCGGGGCATCATGGGAAGGGCTGGGTAGCCGGTGGGGCCGCCTCACTCCCCCCACCCCGGCTCATCTCCACACTGCCTCCCCACACCACCCTGGGCCCTTATCTGTCTTTATGATCCGTCTTCACTTCACACCTGCTGCTGTTTGCCTGCCCTGCCAGCCCTCCAGGGTTTCCTGGAGGAGCACCCCCTCCACTGGGGCCAGCACACAGGCTCCACCTTGGGCTGGGGCCGGTGCCTGGTCTCCCGATGGCGCACCACAGGGCCCTTCGGAAGGGCCCTAGGAGGGAAGTAATTTTCTCAAGGTCACCCAATGAGTAAATGCGTTGGGACTTGGGGGTGGAGGGCAATCAGCAATCATTAAACTCCTACTGTGTGCTGGCCCTGGGCTAAGCCCTGGCATCTCATTAAGCCCATAGGCAGGGCCCACTGTTATCTCCATTCTGTAGATGAGAAAACAGGCTTGGAAGGGGCCCCAGTGGGGCAGGGATGGGGCAGGGCTAGAATCCAGGCCTGCCTGACTCGCATTCACGTGCTCTTGCCTCTTCCGCAAACCTCTGTCTCTCAGTCCAAGCCGAGGAGGTGGGCTCACCACCAGACACGCGGTGAGTGGGTGAGTGGGCAGAGCACAGATTTCAAAAGAGAGGACTGGCCTGAACCTTCACCCCCATACTTGCTGGTGGGACGCCCCGCTTGCCCCCTCACCCACCTTGCCTCCTCAGCCTCCTAGGATTTCTGAGCCTTGTGTCCCAGCAGTCTTCCCCTCTCCACTCTCAACTCTGAGCTAATTGCATTGGAACATTTACTTTTAATTGCCCTTTTTTTTTTTTTTGGTACCTTTTCCAAAGGCTTTAATGAATCTGAAGTGGCCGGAAGTGGGGATACTGAAAGGTCTTCTGATGCTGCAGAGGATCTGAGCCCCTCAAAGATGCCTGGACCACAGGCCCCCACCCACACCCCAGCTCACGCAGGCTCAGAAGGAGCAATGCAGACCCCCTGAAGGATGCTCCCCTCTTGGTGTCTGAGTCTTCGATCCTGCAGCCCTCTCCCAGGAGAGCCTTCCCAGGCTGCCTCGAGGAAACTTCCTGGATCAGACAAGCTCATATTAAATAAAGTTCTTGAGGATTAGGGGTAGGGGTACAGGCTCAGAGGAGAAGAGGGGACTTTATAGCATTTTTTTCCCTTAAGATTCTGAAGACCTCCCAGGCCTATCCTGCCATCTTACAGATGGGACACAAGAAGCTAGAGAAGAGCATGGCTGCCTTAGTTCACACAGTCCTCGAGAGGAGAAGTTGTCAAACGATGCTAAAGGGGACAGTGTCACCTACCTGCCCACCCTGTGGGAAAATCGACTGGGAGAAAAGGAGCTGGGAAGGCTCAGAGCTATTGGAGAAGCACCAGCCCCTTCCATGGAGAACAGCCGGAGGATAGAACAGCATCAAAGAAGCCAGGGTTCCCCGTGTCGGGGGGGGGGGTGGTCTCAGGACCACCAGCACCCCCAGTATCAGGACCTCCGGCATCCCCCAAAATCAGCTCTTTCCATAGCCTCTGTGACAGGTGTTTTGCCAACCTCAGCTACTACCTGAAAAAGCCACATCCCTGACTGACATGTTGGAGTGGAGCACTGCATCTTGGTAACACCCCCCACTGGTGTCCACCCAGCCCTTATAGCTCCCGACCCTGTGCTCCCTGGGTCCATGAAGCCCCTGCACTACTCAGAAGGCAGTGCCCATATCCTCCTTGGCCTGCCCTCCTCTGGGCCAGAGTTCCTGCCCATCCACACTTTCTCATCAGACAAGCTCCATTTCCCTTCTCTCTCCCCTGGACAGCCAGGAGCCAGGATACCATGTCTCAGACCTGGCTGTGCCTCACACCAAGTATGTGGCATTGGACACGTCTCACGATGTCTGCTCATCTGGAAAACAGGGAGGCTAAATTCAATAGGCTCAGAGGCGCCAAGGGACCATAGGGCACTGAGCCCGTGTTCCTGAAGTCAGTGATTCCAATGTTCTACCATAATGAAAATAAAAACAGACATTTAGCACTCATTATGGATACAGTTTTAAGGGCATTACATGTGTTAAACGTTTAATCCTCCCAAGAATCCTCCCATAATAGTACTATGAGATGAGTACTATTATTATCGCCAGTTTACAAGCAAGAAAACCGGGGCACAGAGAGGCTGAGTCCCTTGCCCTGGATAGTAAACTGGAGCTGGGGTTTGAACCCAAGCAGCCAGGCTCCAGAACCCACAGCGGGATGTGGTCTGTGATCTCCCCGTTCTCAGAGTTGACACCATGCAGTCTGGCATTCTGTGACTCCGAGTTCTGTGATTCTGTGAGAACCTGCAGGCAGTTATCGTTGCCTGCTGGGGTTCTAGCTGACAAACTGTAGCCCTGACCTTTTGAGACTCAGGCTAAGAAGGCTGCAGTGGTTTAGAAAAGCTCTCCAGGAGGAAATCTAGCAGTTGGCACTTTCCCTGTGTCATCCACTCCCCAAACACAACACAAGAGAAGACAGTGCTTCTCCCCTCTATGCTGCAGCCGGTGACCCAGCCAGGGAACCCCAGCTGGCAGGGAGGCTAAGGTCAAGGTCAGATGGGGAGGGTGAGACCAGATCTTGTGGTCTCCCTTGACCATGTGAGAGGGCAATGGGTGGAGAGCAGCTCACCGCACTTTCCCCTCCTGGGGCAGTTCATGGTGGGGCTCCTCACACACCAGCCGGGATTCCCCATCCAGCAGGTAGGTGTAGACTGTCTCCTAGAACAGAAGGCACTCATGAGATCCAGAGAAAAGGCCCTCCCACCACCCACTTCCAGTCTGACACAGGTCTGGGTGACAAGGTCGTGGGCATCTGTTTGTCCGTCATTACTCCCCAGGTGATTCTAAGTGCAGCCAGGGTAGAAAAACTCCCCTGTGATCTCAGCACTTCACTCTCTCCTGGGGAGGGTCTGATGGGCTGAAGGAACAGACCACTACCTGCCAATACTCCACAACCCTGAGATATTTCCCTGCAGAGACTGCAGCCTCAACAGACAATAACTGAGTGTCCACTTGGGGCCATACTGCAGAAGGGCTCTGCAGGGAAGAGGGTATCTTCCCTCCTACTTTAGATGCACAACCAAGAAATCACACACTGTGAGCCAAGCCAGGAGGACTTCTTGGAGGGAGTCACTTTAAAGTTGTAATTGACATGGGAATTAGACATATTGAGGGAGTGTGTTGGAGATGGAGATGGTAGAGGACAGGGAATCCTGGTGTGCTACAGTCCATGGGGTTGCAAAAGAGTCGGACACAAATAAGCAACTGAACAACAAAAGGGAGTGGGTGAGAATGGCTTCTGGGCCAAGTATTAATAATAGGTAGGTAGGTGTACAGAGTCCAAAGCATTGATGGAACCGACAGTGGCGAGGCCAGCGGGTGGCACAGGAGGTGGGTTTGGGATCAGGGGTGCTGAGTGGGAAGGGAGCTCGGGGAGGGTTTTGTTGGGGAGAGGGACTGCTGCTGGGGAGGGAGGAGCTGGTGAGCCCTGTGAGACAGGAGCTGATTTGTATTTTGGAATGATCATTCCCCAGAGTGAGATCAAAGCTCTGTTTGAAGCATATCAAATCTGCAGCTTGTCAATCCACCCTCCCCAAGGACCCAGGGCAGTCCTTTGTTTGGGGGTGGGGGGACATGCCACTCAGTGTGCAGGATTTTAGTTCCCCGTCCAGGGATTGAACCTGCACCCTCGGCAGTGAAAGCACAGAGTCCTAACCACTGGACTGTCAGGAACTGCCCCCCAGAGCAGTCTTGGTTTCAGTTGCAGACCATGTCTTGGCAGAAACAGTTGCCCTCACTGACCCACAAGAGAAAATCCACATTCCCTCCAAGCGGGACTGGCCATTCTTAGAGACCCACAGCCAACCTGTCTGCAGAGCATCTCCACTGCTGGAGTCGCATGTGATGACGGAGACCCAGGTGCTCAGCAGAGCCTACACCCCATCAAGGGGGTACCCACGTGCCCAGCTCAGTATCCTGAGAGGCGCTGTTTTCTCAGTGGGAGAATGGAGGGCTGTCCTCTCTGCTGATTGTATCAGGGAGGGCTTCTGGAGGTGGTGACACTGAAGCTCCATGTTAAAGTAAGTAAGTGTGGAGTCCTTCTCAGAAGCCATTGCCTTTCACAGCTGTGAGAGTCCACAACCCTGTCAGACATTCTTGTTGCCCTTGGCTGTCCCCAGCCAGCCAACCCACGTTCTCCCAGCCCCCAGGAGATGCCCCAGTTCCACCTCCAGAGAACTGAGCCAAGCTCAGAAGTGGCATGGGCCAGAAATGACAAGACCTGCGGAGGGTGAGCAGGGCAGACACAGGAAGACCCGGGCCCCCTTGTCTTCCCGGGTGAGGGTCTAGTAGGGGAGTTCAGAGATGAAGAAATTGGTGGGAAGGAGGCCCTCACACCTCATCTATATTCAGCCTCCTCCTGTCAACCAACCCTTTACTCAGCCTAGGAGGGGCCTGTAGGATTTGGTCCCCCAAAAAGGTTAAGATAGTACCCAGCACCCAGAGTCTTGCCCTGGCAGAGAGAGGGGCGGGCAATCCGAGGGTGGCGAGCAGGCAGGCACGCACATCCTCACTTCACTTCCGGGTGTCCGTCTGCCTCCACCCCTCACTCGCAGCCCTCTGGGTTAAAATTAGCTGAGTTTACTGGAGAGAAGGAGGAATCATTTCAGACACATCAGTCCCATCTGCATTTGCGGCTGCCTGCCACAATGGGTGCTGATGAGGGAGCCAGGTGCCAGCAGCTCCCCTCCCTGGCATCTCCCCACCCCTCTTTGGAGAGTTGAGCTCCTCCATGCAGTCAAGACAGGGCTTCCTCCCCAAAGTCAGGGCTTCCCTAGCTCATGCAGGTCTTTGGGGGTGGACCAAGACCAACACTTCCCAATGTCCCAGGGATCTAGTCACTTGGACCGGAGCTGTTTTACTGGCCCCCCGCTTTGGGGATACAATTAATCTAGTACAAGGGCATCTCTGCTGGCACCACCAGCATCCTGCCTGTGAAGACCCTCCTCCTCCCCACTCCCAAGGCAGCCTCGTGGATGCTGACCTGCCAACCTCCCCACCTCTTCTTTTCCAGATGTTTCTCCATCCCAGGCCAGATGTTGCCTCAATCCCATCTCCGGGAGGATTTATTTTGGGAGCCAACACACCACCCACTTCCTACCAATTTCACGCTCAATAAAGCTCACTCATTAGTCTTCCTCCTGGGCTCTGAACTTCCAGGAGGTTTTGAAAAGACAGAGCTGAGGAAAGAGAATGGGGATGCTTAGGTGCCAAGCCCCATTTGTTCCTGTCATGCTGTGTGACCTTGGGGGAAGTGTCCTGCCTCTCTGGGCCTTGGGTGGATCATTCATCCAGCAGATTCAGACACAGTAGGCTCTGCTGGTGGCTGTTGTCTAGGGTAGAGGAGGGAACTCCCCAGGCTATGGGACTCAGTTTAGGCATTTCCTCTTCTGATAAGTCTCCCATGCCTCTTAGGGTGTCAGAGCCCCCCTCCCCAGACTGACAGTCCCCTGCTCCCTTCTGTCTGGCACAACTGATACACTGCTGCTTTGTGTCTTGAGAGCCAGTTCATCCATCCTCCTGCATAAGGGATGCATAGTGACCACGGGAGCTGAGTTGAGGAGTGGCCTGGGGCAACTGAAGAGGAGCACAGTCTCCTCATCCAGGCACTCCAGGCCCAGGAAACCATGCTGACCAGGTGACCAGGGGCCCAAGCAGCCACCCTCCACCTGTTCCCAGTGTGCAACCTCATCTATGGTGTTGGAATGGGTCAGAGAGAAGCTTAAAGGCTTCTAGAGGCTTCTAGAGGACATGTTATCCAGGCTCCTGACTCTAGACAGGACACCTGAACTCAGCACAGATCTATTTATCAAGGCCGAGCCCCATTCCAGCACACAGCTGATACGAAGGAAGTTCTTCTGCATCTCTACTCTCAATCCTTCCTGCTATACATATTCCAAACCTCACGTGACTCACTAGGTCCTACCTACTGAATCCATTAGGTTATTATCCTAAGTGTATCTATTCCATAATCTGAGACATGATCTTTCCAATTACACTCTAATGCCCCTTCTGTCCCAGACATTCCAGAATTCCCATATCAGTTCATTCACTGGGGTTTAGTTTTAGTCCTCCTCCTCCAGGAAGCCCTCTTAAACACTCACCCATACCCTTCACTTCCCCATGACAGTCCTCTGGGCATAAACCCTGCTTCTTCTTTCCTTCTCAACCCTGTAGGTTAAGAGGAGCTGGGAAAAGGCTTAAGGGGCAGGAAAGTATGGAACAAGGCACGTACCACTTTGGGAAGCACAGCTGACAGGGCCTCCTTGACAGCCTGTTGCAAGCCTGCAATGTCGATGACAGAGCCCAGGCTCAGCAAAGCATCCTGGAAGAGAGGAAAGGGCAGTGAGGGCCTTTGCCAGGCAGGCCAGGACAGTGCCCCTACCCGGGGGCTGGGAATACAGACTCAGCTTAACCCAGGGCCTAAGGCTAGCAGACACTTGAATCCCAGGATTTTAGGAACTCAGAATCCAACCCGTCTTCTTTTATTTCCCCAACAAGTCTTAAGGCCTTAAAATGTCCAAGTCCGTTCATCTTACAATAAGGGGTCTGGGGCTTAGAGAAGGGTCAGGGACTTAGCAAAGAACTCACAGTAAGTCAAGAGGTCAAGACCTAGACCTAGACCCTAGGTTTCTTGTCCTTCAGCCAAGGACAACTCAGGCATAGCAGGGAAAATGCAAGCTTCTGCATTAACATAAAATGAAACAAGTCAACAAAAAGCTCCAAATTTGAATTCTAGCTCCACTGTTTATAAGCAGTGTGAATCTCGGTCAAGTCACTGAGCCTCAGTCTTCTATCTGTAAACTGGGAGCAACTAAGGCTATCTCCCCCTATAGGCTGATGTGATGATGAAATGAAACTGAGTGCCCACACACACAGGTGCTCAGCAAAACATTTGCTGAACCTGGGTCCCATTCAGTTTCCCGAGGAGGGAGGTGGTCTTGCACAGCCTCATTTTTCATCCTAGTGAGGGGCTGGGAGTAACAAGGGTCCATGGGGTACATGAGCCCACAAGATTCAAGAAACACAGTGAGGCCAGCCCCTGGTGAGATAGAAGGGGAAGGAGGACTCAGCCTTGACTGCCTCACAGCCTTCCTGTCCCAGGAACAGGCCTCGTCCTTGGAGAGCCGGAACCAAGACAAGAAAGGTCCCTGCTTCTCGCTCTATTAACTTGGCCAAAACCATGGGGATCAAAGAGAAAGGTAACAGAACAGAGGATCCAGGGCCAAAGCAGGACTGTGACTCATACCATCCACTCAGCCAGGCCCTCCCCGCTAGCCCCTGCAAGTTTTTTCTGATGTCTTCCTTGTGGATGGCTCAGTCTGTGTTCACAGAGCCAAGTGATTAATTGTAGGATGGAAGACACATGGCGTGGCCCCCATTCCTGTAAAAGTGATGTGAGCTTGAGGCTCTTATTGGGCCACAAGCTCAGTATGAGCCCACAGCATAAATGTGGCTGGTAATATATTAAAACACTGGTTTTATTGCAAGCGCATGTTAATAAAGATGTTAATAAAGATGTTACCCTAACTGAGGAAGATGAGAGTTCGTCCAAGTCCATGGGCTGATTAGATCATCCCCAGTGCACTATGTCCCGGGAAGGACAAGAAGAGACTCATTCAGAGGAGGTGACATATGTAAAGAGAGAATAAGAAACCAAGTCCTGCATGGAGAAACTGGGGATGCCTTGTCTGCAGCAGAACAGATCCAGGGGGCTCACTATTTGACTCCAATATCTCAGCTTTCCTGGGCAGGGCGACTGGACTCTGTGGCCCCAGAGACAACCTGGAGATTCACAGGACTTCACAGGAGGCAGACCTTGGCCCAGGGGGGTGAAATATCTTCCAGGTAGAACCTTGCTACATAGGCAGAGGCCACTAGAAGAGAGGTGAGGAACTGAGCTCCCCATAGTTGGGGGGTATGCAAAAATTGGCTAGATGCCCATTTTTCAGAGAGGCTACAGAGGGAAGTCCTGCACTGTAGTCCAGATGAAGCCTATGGTCTGGGCTTTGGCTCCAGATTTCACCTTGCATCTTCTTGGCTTCAGTGTCCTTCCCTAGCCTGACTCCCATTCCCACCCAGTCCTGTGTTCCAGGTTGAGGGAGTAGTGGTGGGCTTTCTCTTCAAATGGCATTGTCTTCTCCAACCCCCAACCTTCCTTTGATCCCTTCTACTGCTCAAGTGAAGACACATTTCAGTCACAAAGATGTGCCTCCATCCTAGGACACCAGGAGCTGCCGACTCCACAATACATTCCCCAAATTGGATCAACTGTCCTTTGATCCTGAGGCCCTCCTCATCATAGCTCACACACTCTCAGCAACACATATACCTGGCTAGCCAGTCATAGACCATCATATTCTCACAGAAACACCCCAGCCTGCCTTCAGACACCCTCCAGGTACACATATGGGTTCACACAGGTGCAGATACTTCTAATGGATTCACAGGTCCAGGGCTCAGCAACATGTTGGCCACTGTGGCCTTCTAGGTCATTTCTGCCGACTAAAGAGGCGAGGAAGAGCTAATGTCCCAGATAATCCTGAAATAAAGTCTGCCAACCCAGGCTCCTCAGACAGTGGTTCCAAGGCCTTGGCCCCAGAAGGTAGTGCTGGTTTAGGTTTGTTCCTGCCTGGAGGCAGTGGGGAAGGATAAGCTAAGTGGAGGGCCCTGCCCTCTAATCGAGTTTGTGTGTGTAGTGTGGAAGTTGGAGAAGAGGGGCCAAGGTGACGGAGTGAGCTCTGATGTCCGGGGAGACAAGTCTCAAAGCCACAGGCTTAGGACAGCTAAGTCTCCCCATTTGACAGATGAGGAAACTGAGGCTCAAAAAAGAAGCAATGTCCCATCTGTGGTCAGCCAGCCAGTCAGGACAAAGGCAGATCCAGAACCTACCTCTCTGGAACTCTAGCCTCTGTCTTCTTCCTGCTCTGGACTGACCCCCAGCTCCCTCTCCAGGGGCCTTAGAGCAATAGTCTGTCCTTTGTTCTGATTGGTGGCTCCTCTACCTGCCCTTTACTTGGATTGGGGAATACCCTGAACTGTCCTTTACTGAGATTGGTGGATGCCTGTCTGGCCTTTGCTTGGATTGGTCAGTTTTCTGCGACTCCTCACGCTAAGGGCAAGATAATGGCGCAAGAGGGGAATTGGGAAGGAAAGTTAAAGACAGTTGGAGCAGCAGGGAGGGGGCCCAGTGGGCTGGAGGGAAGCACTCGATGAAGCCCTGGGTGGTCTCTGCCTGATATCCGTCTGTCCACCCACCCCCTGGCCCTGCCCGGCCTGCCTGCCCCAAGATGGCGGGTGTTGAGTGTAGGAAACATAGCTGGGAAGGGCCACTTCACACTTGGCCTTCAAGATTTGCTCACATGCTGCCTTCTTGAATCTTGCCAAGATCCCAAATCTATTTCACCTCCTGCATCAACTCAGGGAGGAAATAGTTCACATTCCACAGACCATGAGGTGAGGCTCAGAGGTCAGAATGGCTGCCCCAGTGAAGGAAGAAGAGTCAATGGTATTGAGGCTCAAGTCAAAGGGTTTTAAACCCCAGAAATCTTAAACAGATGAGGAGAGGAGAAGTACAGACAGAGCCATACCTGCTCTCATGCACATCTACACTTGTCACACATACACATATTGTCGTGCACACCCACACACCCACACACAAACTCACACACATGGATAAAAATGCAACCCTATAGAAATGGCCACCCACTCCAATATTCTTGCCTGGAAAATTTCATGGACCAAGGAGCCTGGCAGACTTTATTTAGTTCATGGGGTCAAAAAGACTTGGACACGACTGAGCACACATGCACGCAATATACAAGGCACACATAAACATACACTTTAGCATGTACACACATGCACAAATAAACACACTCAAACATACACAGCCAAGCTCAGGGTGGGGTGAAAGAGGTCACATTTCCTGCCCTTGCAGCTTTTGTGAACAAACATCAGTGTAAATATCGGCATGACAACCAGCAATTTCCCAGACCCCAGAGGAGAATCTGTGGTGTGTAGCGAACAGTAGCTGTTTCCAGTGTGTCCCAGACTGACTGTGGAAATTCTGTGTGGTCTTAGTAGGCCCTTTCCTCTTCTGAGTTTATTTCCTCACTAGTAAAAATGGGTCCTTCCAGCTAACAACACATAGTTCTACCATTTTGTGTTTTAATTCAATGAGAATGGGTGAACGGATCTGTCAAGGCTGTATATTGTCACCCTGCTTGTTTAACTTACATGCAGAGTACATCATGTGAAATGCTGGGCTGGATGAAGCACAAGCTGGAATCAAAATTGCTGGGAGAAATATCAATAACCTCAGATATGCAGATGACACCACCTTTATGGCAGAAAGTGAAGAGGAACCAAAGAGCCTCTTGATGAAAGTAAAAGAGGAGAGTGAAAAAGTTGACTTAAAACTCAACAGTCAAAAAACTAAGATCATGGCATCTAGTCCCATCACTCCATGGCAAATAGATGGATAAACAATGGAAACAGTGACAGGCTTTATTTTCTTGGGCTCCAAAATCACTGCAGATGGCGACTGCAACCATGAAATTAAAAGACGCGTGCTCCCTGGAAGAAAAGCTATGACCAAACTAGACAGCATATTAAAAAGCAGAGACATTACTTTGCTGACCAAGGTCCATCTAGTCAAAGCTATGGTTTTCCAGCAGTCATGTATGGATGTGAGAGTTGGACTATAAAGAAAGCTGAGTGCCAAAGAATTGATGCTTTTGAACTGTGGTGTTGGAGAAGACTCTTGAGAGTCCCTTGGACTGCAAGGAGATCCAACCAGTCAATCGTAAAGGAAATCAGTCCTGAATATTCATTGGAAGGACTAATGCTAAAGTTGAAACTCCCATACTTTGGCCACCTGATGTGAAGAACTGACTCTTTGGAAAAGACCCTGATCCTGGGAAAGATTGAGGCAGGAGGAGAAGGGGATGACAGAGGATGAGATGGTTGGATGGCACCACCAACTCAATGGACATTGAGTTTGAGTAAACTCTGGGAGTTGGTGATGGACAGGGAAGCCTGGCATGCTGCAGTCTACGAGGTTGCAAAGAGTCGGACATGACTGAGCGACTGAACTGAACTGAATGGATATGTGAGTGTGTGGATGAATGAATGAGTGGATGGATAGATGGGTAGAAGGATGGATGGATGGGTGGATGGAGCCTTCATACTTTCCCCAGCTCCTTACTTGCAGCTCTATGGTTGGAGGTAGGTCTACTCAGCACTGTAGATGGGGCCACTCCCCACACACTCTAGAAAGTACCCCAGGTACCAAGAAAGTGGGCCCTTTTTGGAGTGAGGTCTCCT